ATTCAAATAGAAAATGCCTCAATATTTTGGTAAATATATATAATATACAGAGTTAACAAGAGGCTCAGGGAACAACTGGTTCACCTATGCACTGTGGCTAAGAAAAAAGCAAAAATCAGTATAGTATTGAAAAACTTAAATGCATAAATGGTCCTGACATACCCCTAAAAGGGAGGGGTATGATTTGACAAAATTGAACCTACACTAAATAAGGAAGCTTATATATTTTTGACTGTGGCCTTTTTTCCTAAAAGTTTGAACTCTCAGTGTGGCCCCACTCTACATCCAGGGGGTCATGATTTGTACAATGTACAAACTTGAATCTAACCTATCTGACAATGATTCCACAGGAGTATTCACCTTTCTTGGCCCACTGGTTAAATACAGAATCAAATGTAAATACTTCAATAATGAAAATGTGTCAAAAATGCATCACTTCAAATGAAGAGTTAAATAATGTTAAAAAGACAAAGTTCATGGAACAGGAACAACACATGCAATCTTTCATCAAGAATTCTCTGAAATTTGACAAGACTCTTTTTTTCTCTTCCAAGTTATTCACATTGCAACTTTTTGTCCAGACCGGCACACTCTTCCAAGGAGATTTCTCTGATATTTATCATGGCTGTGTTTTCCTTATCATCCAACTGCCAGATTTTTGTCCATAGGTCTGAAACTTATGATGTGCTCAAAGTCTGTCAGGGTGAAGTTCAAACTCCAACATCAAATTTATGGTTCCTGAACCCTGAAAATAACATTAAAACACAAGAGTCTTTATAATTATCATTTGACACACATAATCATGGGAAAACTTGGTAGGGTGGAGAAGTTTTAATTTTCATGATAATTATGACAAGTGGAGGGCTCCCAATGTGACAGCAAACTGGGTTTTTCTTGTGTGAACTGACTTGGCATAAAATTCTTACATGAATAAAAAATGTACATTTGCAAGAGTTGTTTCCCTTTATCAAAAATAAAACCTCCCTATTTTCTCACAATATCCTTTGTAACTTGCATGAATTTAAAAAAAATATTTAAACTTCTTTTGACAATTTCATAACGGCAAAGTATGGGGAGAAAAAAAAACCTTGCAAAATGAACAAACACTAGGATATTTTGCACAGAAATGATGAAGGTCAAATAAAGACCCATGGGTCACATTGCTCACCTTAGCTCTTTGGTTTTCAGTATTGAAAAAGTAATAATTCCTACTGGGCCCAAACTAATCCTAAGGGGAGGGGAAGCGGGCATGATTTGAACAAGCTTAAAGCTGAACACTACTCGTAAATAGGCACTGTCAGACGGGTATATAAACCGTTCGCTTTTGTTACACCCGATTTCACACTCGAAACTCGTGGCCGACATGTAGTATTCCTATCGTGATATTAGATTTTTTGCGTTTATTTCTTGTTTTTATGTGCAGTTTTTGTTTGTAAATAATGTATTGACCTGTAATTTCCATGATACTTTTGTCCTGTTTTGGAAAAAATACCATCGATATTGAGTAGCACGCTTGAACGTCTAACTCGTCGGATCTCTATAGTGAAATACATTGAACTGACTAGCGATCTGCTCCTTATATACGAGTTGCAGGGAGAGCGTTGAAGAACAAGAAATATGGCGGACTATGCCTATTTACGAGTAGTGTTCAGCTTTAAATCTACACCAACTGATGATGCTTTCTATTTCCTTGACTAATCATGGCCTTCGAAGATTTCTAATGATCTTTCCTTTGTATTTTGGTGTAAAACTTTGATTTCCATTGTGGCCCCATCCTTAACCTGGGGATCATTATGTATGATAAACAGATGCCAGACACTTCTTAGTCGGAAAAGTTTACTTGAGCCTTATGCCCTTTTCACATGGAGAGTTTAATTCACAGTTAATTAATGAGAAGTAAAAAAATAATGCGAATTAAATTGTGTTCACACGACAGCTAAAGCAAAGTAAACTTATGCGAATCAAAATTTTATTTCTACATTAGGGAGATCAGCAATGATATTATGACGTCATTTATTATTCACATCATTTGTGCCGAGCAGATTCAATTGACATAAAAATCATAGTGTTTTTTATACAATTTAGTGATTAACATAATTTTCCTTTATTTTTCAACCAAACCTAGCACTGATATCTAAATCTAACTATTGACATGGGGCCTGTGACTTAATTCAGGCCTTACACATGCGTCAACATTTCATTTGAATAAGCTTTGTTTAGCGTTCACATGGAGCTAATGCGAAGTAATTTAATGCGCAGTTAATTAATTCAAATTAAACTTTTTTGCATTAAACTCTCCATGTGAATGCTGTTCAAATTTAATGTGCAGTAACTTAGGTTTAATTCGAATTAAACTCTCTGTGTGAACATGGCATTAGACTCAGGTAAGCTAAATTGCAAATAATTATTAATAAAGTAGATGACTTTTCTAAACATACCAATATATATTTCTGCAGAATGAATAAAAATATAAATCTCAATGTAAAACTTTCTGAGTACCCATTACATTTTCTTAACCCCCCCCTCCCCCTTCCCCCTGGATAAATCTGCCACTGTAATTTCTTAATTCTTTCTAACCACTTTTGTTCTTTTCACCGCGGTGTCATCTGCAATCTTTTTCTTTCTTTACAACACTGTTTTCTTTCTTTGAAACCTGCATGCCTCTAAAAATCATGACTCTTTGTTGCTCCTAAAATTAAATGTACATGTGCAAATAATTCTTTACAAACTACAACATATTTTCTATTTCTCATGGTAACTGAAGATTGAACAAAAAATGTAGAATTTCAATATTTTCTGAAATGTTTCATATTTAGAATTTGTCAATTGACTCTTTTAATGGCAGCTGTGGCTTAAAAAACAGAATATTGAAAATTGTTTTTTTTTTATCATTGAGCAGGAGAGCTAAAAACAAATCCAATACATGAGTGATTCCTGGTTATGTTTATATAGTGATTTATTGTGCAGTTTATTGAACACACCTAGTAAATAGTAAATTTTAACAATAACAATTATAAGATTGCTCTTGATAACAAACATAGGGTCGCCCATATGGAGCAGTGGTTAGAGCTTTTGCTCTTAGAGTTGCAGAGAAAGGAGTTGATCATTGTTTTGGGTTCAAATCCCACTGTGGGACGTGGAGACAGGTCTTTTGGATGAAACCATATAAATTGAGGTCCCATGTCACAGTAGGTGCCGGCACGAAAAAGATCCCTCACTGTTCAATAGCCCTGAGTGCCGAGTATTGGTCAAAACTTCAAGCTCTCCACTTATAAGTGGTGCGTCTCCATATGAGTGAAAAAGTCTCGACAGGGACATTAAAACCATGCATGGATCTAGAGGGGGGAGGGAGGACCCCCCGTGGAATTTGCAGTTATTTTAAAAATTTATATACTAAAGCAAGAAAAAAAGTTACCTTGGACTCCCCCTCGGAAAACGCAAAACTCCCTGGTAAATGCAAATTTTTGTTAAATTGGTATGAAAATTCAAAGGATTGAAGTCATCAACTACCCCCCCCCCCCCCCCCAACACAAAATAGGTTTTTGAAGTTTGGGCGAGTTTACATGGACCCCCCCCCCCCCCCCCGAGAATGTCTAGATCTCTGCCTGTGTTAAACAACAAACATACACAGGAGTTTGCTGTTATATTAAGAGAAAAGTTTTGGTCCAATAGTAGATAACTCCATAAAATCAGGAAATCAAGACAAATCAATATATGAAATCATCAATAGTCGTTTATCAGAGTTTCTAATAACAGTAAGAATCAACGTAAATGGCTTACTGCAGAGAAAATTCAAGCTAAACTGTAAAATACAAGCATATACTGTTCGTAAAGATATATCATTCAATTTAACGCCACTTTATCTAGATTTGGAACATAAATTCACAATGCAATGGCATGCATTGATGCAATCTCAATCTCCTATACAAAAGTACAGAGATAATTCGAACTAGTTCTTCCGAAGCTGTCGTTTAATAACAGCATACTGACAGCTGATTTCTGAGACATTTCCTTTATCGAATGAATGGAATTCACTTCCTTGTACATTAATATAACAAAATCATCTTTACTTACCGGCAAACCGCCTGCCTTTCACTGGCGCCGTACTCGGCACTGTTGATCAGGGAAGCACCTAGTCTCAAACCACGTGATTGTCTTCGGCAGACAAACGTTTACTTTTTCAAGCGTCCAAATAATAATAATCTTTCCCAAAGAAAATCTGACAAGATTATAATTGTTCAGTACATCAAAATCACACAAACGTTTGATTTCAAGCGTCTAAATAATAATAATGTTGCAACTTTTTTGGTCGCGATTATTATTGTTGGAGAGACAGATTATAATTGTATGATCGATGTGGAATATAATTATTATAAATTTGAAGCGAAATAAAAACAATGTGTTCGCTCGGACAAACAAGATTATAATTGTTAAAAGTAAGAATAATTATTATAATTTTGAGGTGAAATAAAAATAATGTTTTAAAACATCGACTGACAAGATTATAATCATGAGGCGAAAAAATATAATAATGTGTCCACAAGCAAGTTTGGATGAGATAATTATTTTTGGTATAGATATATAGGAAAATATAATAATAATGTGGGGGTACCCTACGGCTTTCCATACTTACGGCTTTCCATAGGCAAGATTATTATTGTGAAGTGAATCATTATAATTGTAGGACAAAATAAAAATAATGTGTACACATTTAACAGACAAGATTATAATTGTTGTAGGAAAATAATAATAAAATGTTGTAAAAAGCAAGTTTGGATGAGATAATTATTTTTGGTATAGATATATAGGAAAACATAATAATAATGTGGGGGTACCCTACGGCTTTCCATAAGAAAGAGATCAGGTAGAATGTTTTATAAATCCAACACCCTTATTTTTGCACATTTAATCGTGAAATTCGTTTTAAAAAAATTTGAGCAATTTATTGAGAACTTCGCTCAAGTATTCTTAAGGTTTTATAGATATTTTATAATTTTTAGGAGGATATATTTGAAATTTGCTCCAAGAAGACGTTATATAATTCGGAGGATTCTGTGAAGGCAGAAGTTGTCGATGAAATGGATGATGTATTTCAAGAGAGAGACCCACGAATGCCTCCTTTAGGGTCACGGGTCAAACGAGGACGAGACTGGAAGTGGAATTATCAGGATAGCAATGGTCCTGGTACAGTAATAGGACATATGAAGGAAGGTTGGAACACTTACATTACATTTTTTTAATACTTTTTGGTTAAAAAAAATAATAATAAAGTCGGAATATGTCCAATAGTCATGGTTGAAAAGTTGTCAATTTTTTTAATGCAATATCACATATATGTTAAAATGTGAATTGGATTTACATATACAAGAATTTTATGATTTTTTAAAATTCATTTTGATCTTTAATGCCATATTAATTTTCAATGGAAATAAAAGTCGCTCCACATTTGAATTTAAAAGTGTTGGCTTAAGTCACTCTATTAAGAGGAGACACTGTAGTTGCCTCAAATTTTCATGGCACTTGCCTGTATTCTTGGCCTTAAAGTGTATTTAAAAAAATTGTAAATTGCTGTGCAGATAAGCACGGACTTACATCTTTTTAATTTTCTTCTGTTTTAATATCTTTGATTATTTTCATATTTGTCTTTTTTTCTCTGAATTTATGGATTAAAAAAATTGATTCTTCAGGAAGTTGCAACAGACATTTAAATTGTTCAATAATTATTGACTGATAACTGGTCATTATATTCAAACTTCCTTTTGTATAAATTTGGAAAGTCATAAAAATCTCGGAAAAAAGTTTTTTTCGCATGAATGATTTTTCTCAACAGGTGGGTGGTTAAACGTAAAGTGGGATACTGGTGAGACATATGGCTACAGATATGGATCTACCCTAGAGGAAAGGGATAAATACGATGTTCAAGTCTGTAACGAACCTAGAATTTTAGAAAATGAGACTATGGCAACGGGGTGTCTGGTCAAAAGAGGTAAAATCCGTCCTACATGTTGATAATAACTCTGTAATGTTAAAACACAAATAGAAAAAAATTTACAAAATTTTATATGTGAATATTGATCTATGTATAGGTCCTGACTGGAAATGGGGAGATCAGGACGGCGGTACTGGAAGTATTGGATCCGTTTACAGAGTGAAACGAAATGGAACTGTCTTTGTACGTGATCAATAATGACGTTTGTTTTTGTTTACTTTTAAACTCTAGATAAAGAAATGTCTGTACATGGTTGATTGATTGATTGTATAATGTTTAGCTTCCCATTCGATAATTTATCACTCATATAGAGACCTCGCCGTATGGCGGTGAAGGGCTTCAAATTTTATATTATACTTGGCACACAGGGTCATTAAGCAGTGAGGATTCTTTATCGTGACAGTGCCTAAAGTGACACGTTATCTTCGTTTTTAAGGTCACATCCGAAAGACTCGAGACATTTGCTTGTAATGCACTTGGCAAAGGAACAGTTACTACCTATGTTAACGTCTTAAGTTTGACGCTACGCCGTAAACGAGAATCGAACCCGGGCCTCCTGATCACAAAGCGAACGCTCTGCCACTATCGTGACCGGTGTGTACATGATTGAATATTTTCATTAGACAGTTCCCTTGTAAATAATAAAAAGGTATAATTAAAAGAAATCAGTGTACTCAATTTTTAGCAACACAAACCTAAAAACTTTTTTTTCCTACAGGTGCGATGGCCAAACGGCCTAACGACAGAAAACAGGTTTGGACATAATGGAAAATATGATCTACAGATATGGTAATTATCGTTTTCAATGTCTGCGCTATTCTGATAATGCATGTGTACGTGATTTTCTAGTTTAAAGTCCTCTACATTATACTTTAGAGGTGCTGAGAAATATATATTTCTCTATGTGTTTCTATTTTGTAACAGATTTATAAATACTGATACTCTATACACTAAAAAAATAATTTGGAGATCCGAAAAAACTTATTTTCAAGTGTAATATTGATCGAGTTTATCCATTCCATTTCAACTTAGGGTCCCGCAGGAAATGTATGTTCAACGACAACAGTTTTGAGAGGGAGAGAGAGAGATCACTGTTGTTTTATTTGATAAAGTGGGACATGCAAAAAAGAAATAAACGATTAATGCTGCAGTCTGCAGTCTCTCTTAATTCACATTTCCCTCTACTCTTCCCAACTAATGAATTTCTTAAAATGCTTCTATTTATGCATGCAGCGATCCATTCTCAACGGAATCAATTGAGTATCTCCAAGATCAAATCAGGAAGGCAGCTCTTAATTGCCCAGTTAATGATCCATTTGTGGACCTTTCTGAAAGTTCGCCTTTTAAAGGTACACTACTCCGAGATCTTATTTGAAATACTTTTACAGAGTAACAGGAAATGACCCTTGAAGAAAACATTAATTTATTCATTTTTTCTGTGCAGTGAGTGAATCTGGGAATGATTTTGACCATGAGACTAGAAAAAGTTACGAAAAACCTACAGCTAGTATACCTGTCTTGAAAATTTCTAAGGGAAAGTATTTCAAAAACGACAAAGTTGAGGACGAATCGTCCGATATAGAGATTGATGGGTTATCAAATTCAACGGTTTTTACTGCGGTAGATCAGTGGTTGTGGAAAGATGAACAAGGCCATTGGAATCCATATCCAAGAAAAATGAACGATAAAATAAACAAATGTTACAAACGAAATCCTAATTCCACTGTCATTGTTTCAATGAAAGAAAACACGTATGTATTTAACTATGAAATATAATTCATTGAATAATAACGATATGGTTACGTAAAAATATATTGAAATAATTAAGATTGGTACATGAATATCTTATGGTGTTGTTGACTCATTGAGTATGTAGAAATATGTTCTGTTTTAGGTACAGAGTAGTAATGATCAAAGGTGTACAAATAAACTTGACGACAAGAGAAGTGTTCGATGTGAAAAGTGTGAAAAATACCAAATGATCTTGATAAAATGCATTTTCATAATCTGAACAGTTATTTCTATGCGCATTATTTTGATTTAAAAAACAATGTGTGTGTAGCAATACATTCATCGTTAGCATGGTAGGACCTATCTGAAGGAAAATATACAGAAATCCTAAAGAAATAAAGTAATTAACTGCCTTTCATTTATTTTTCCAAATTAGATAACTGTTATGTTTTGGATAAGTCAGATATGTTAATAAAGAATGTCATCATCTCGATGACATACAACTTAGAAATCTTATGACATCAAGCTTGACTTTCCCTCAGTATTGAATCTTTAATGAATTGATAACACTTTATTTGACAACTTTTCATCACATACTTTTATTGTGGGAAGCTGGAAAACAAGGGCTATTCGAGACACTGTATTAAAAATGAATGGTAAAGAATCAGTAAACTATGGTGAAATTAAACGCTTCGTTAAAACTGCTGTAAAACTTGTTTAGAATCCAAAAAAATATTATTGAAATATCTGAATTTAACAGCAACCAATGTCTGTTTTATACACTCATAAGCAGGTGGATATCAACCAAGCATTTTTTCTATGTGATGATAACTCTAAAAATGATCCATAAATGAATCCTAGCACGAAAAATGTTTCTTGTGCATGAAAACATTTGACGGGAACAAAAGAACCTATATAACCAAAGGTCAAAAAAATTATTCGATTAGCCAATGGTTTTTAATCTTCCTCAAGTTGTGCATGTCCAGGTTGAATTCTAAAATCCCTATGAGAGAAATACAACATGTGTGTAATTTCCCACACTCTACAAAATAACATTGATATCATAAAGCATTTTTCCTATAAAGATCAATGTCCTAACATTCATCGTTATTTCTTAATTTTTATTGAATATGAGATGAAATGAGAATATTAATGTTAAGGAAGTGAGTTAAATAAATGTATTTTTTATCATGCTGCACTTTATGCTTTGTTTTCTTATGGACAAATTTCAACATTTCTTGGCAAGGTTTAAATTGCATAATGCACATTCATTCAATACGAAATCTGAGTTATAAATATCAAGGCCTATGCTATGGATCGTCTGCTAAATCAACATCATTGCTTCTTTTTGAAAGGGGCACAGGGCATTGGTTTATAGGGGGATAAGAATTGAAGAGTGGTTTGTAATGGTCATCAGGTCACAAACATGTTGCTAGGTAATGTAATACTAGGTATAACGATACTAGGTAATGAAACATAACATTCAAATATAGAATATTTATAGAAACAGATGTACTTTTGCTTCATCATAGCAACGGATTCTTCGAAACGGAAATTCGTAAGTACTAGCTAGTAGGAAGTAAAAATTAAACATAAGGTTCATCGTTATAAGGTTATAATGCTCAATAAAACAATGGATTCAACACTACGAAATACTTGACGAGAAAAGAAACTTGAACTGAAAATTAAGATATGGATATTGGCATCGGGGATGCAGAAAAATTTTTGGCGAAACCAAGCCAGCATTGATGCTACAAAGAGTAAGTCGTCATTGGTTAGATTTTAATCGTTATAATCATAACGAACAGTGGCTGAGTTATCATCAAGAGATAAACATTTTCTAGGGAATGAAACCATTTTGGTAAGTTAAAGTGAATAACATGTTACCATCTTGAGACCATCATACGAGTATTGTACAAATAACTTGAAAAGACTACGGAGTACATGTAGTGGTTCGTGTAATAACCTTTGTTTTTCTACATACACTCAAATTATTATGAATAAATACCTTTCATATGAAAAGAAATTATATATTTTGTATTTTCAAAACATGTTTTATGCATGCTTTCTTAATTCAGACTTAACTTAGTTTAGAAAGAATAATGTTTACAAAATGCAAAAGGAAGGACATGCTATGGAAAGACATAAAACTATTATTATAATTGTGACCACTTCGAAGTGATATTGATTTACAATCTAAATATAAATGTCACAGATTCGGCACAAAAAATATTTATTTACGTGCTTATAGTAATAAACCAAGAATCCAGTTAAAAATACTCTAAGTAAATCTTTGACGAATACTTCTAGTATAATATAATGCAAATCTGTCTTCTACCGTAAAGGCAAAAATCGTGGGGGTCAAGAATTTGGCGGGTACAGTGCTTATATACTGAGTGCAGATATTAAAACATGCATATTAATGAGATAAAAACGGTCAGTTTTTGGTCAGTAGTGAGGTCACATTAGGTCACTTAACCGGAAACACGTGTAAATACGAAAATAACAATGTCACAGGACCTCTCAAAACATTCACATCAGACACACAACAAACTCAGCGAACGTGCTTAATTGGCAATGCAAAGAGTATATTAAAATATAACATCTGTGACATAAAATTGAGAATAAATTGTTCATATAAATACATATATCAAAGATCAAAGAAATACCACGAACATTATTCTCCAATAAATCAAGAACATCATAAAAAATTATTAGATCAGAAACAAGTATCAAACCTGTGCAATTGAAATGAATATTTGACTCTAGAATGAAATACGTATTTAGACCACATCGACGTGTCGTCTTTCAAAGCCTAAACACTGTATATAAATGTGTATACATAAAGTAGCTGATGAATGTAGATTTTTATAGCTAGGCGGGGCTGTTCCACGATACTCCCTACTGCATATTTGAACTCCGTGATATTAGTGATAAAGCAATAAAATAGAAAACTGATTTTATTCATTGTATATTTAAAAAGTAATAAATTTATGACACAAACAAATTTATAATAAATAAATGGCTAGCTTTAATGCAGCGAAAGCTAAAATCGTCTGCCTTCCGTACACAGGTAAACAAACAAATTTACCCACTGGTGTTAGATAGAATAGCGTAATCGAGATATGGTGACCTAATTCGTTTCTCTATAGAGGAAGCGATTAGCAACTCTTAGTAGAATAGAAATAAAGTCATTGTTGTCGTGAATGATGCAGAATAACCTCCTCAGTCTCAAAATGTTGTTTTAAATACAAAGAGTCTCGGCTTTTATCTTTCAAACAACACTACTCGACCTCTGAGGTTATCCTGCTACATTCACGAAACGCGGACTTTATTTCTCAAATACAAAAACAGATCAGAAAGATTACATTGTATTTATTTTAAGGCGTTGAGCTTCGGTATCAGCAGGGGAATGGACCTTGCAATATTTTTATTTTGGATACTTCTAAAAGTATTGGTGAAGAGGGCTTCATTCAAATAAAGGCTATATTTTCTTCAATTATTGACGGTAAGTTAGCATAAGAAAAATGTGTTAATGATTAATATTAACATGTATTTTAATTTTGATGAAAATACTTTCAAGTTGATAAACTTTCGGTATTACAGATACACTTTATAACCATTTTAATAGAAAATAAAAGTTTTTAATTAATACTTAGTGCTAAAATCACCATTAACTGTAATTGTTTAAGGGTGGGTAGTTACTGGATACAAGTATTTTTTTTAAATCATAAGCAATAAGCCGATTAAACTTAAATCTACAGTTTGCAACTTTTTTGTGTTGATCTACATGTAGACGAATAAGATTACATACCGTACCTTGGAGTAAAATAACACTTTTTTGCATTGCTTTTAAATATTAAAAGTATGTAACATTTCTCATTTTCAGAGTTTGCCAATCATCCACAGGAAGATGAGAACATCGCTGTTATTGTTTGTGGAAAAATCACGAAATTTCAACATTACCATTCAAATCGTTACTCTGAAATTAAAGGTTGTCTAGGTAAACGTAATTGTATTGATTGTATTGCAAAATAACTTCTTATCTATTTCAAAAGATTAGATTTGTTGCAACTTTTATATAGAAGTATAATTTTCAAAATTTAAAAGCATGTCTTTTTTTTTAAATCATTACATTCATTATAAAGAAGCGTTGGAATACGGAGGACTCTCTCCACTGACAGCGGCTTTTTTATTGAGCATTGGAGCCCTTGAATCTGGTGCAGTTAAGACTATTCACATTATGTATTCTTAATTAATTGAATAAGAATTCATCCATTTTATTACATTTGTCATGTTTTGGTTTATACAATATATATATTTGCAAAGGCTACTCAAGAGGGATATGTGAATTCAAGGTTCGACCACGAATTATTCTGATATCTGATGGGAGACCAACAGACTTCAATATATTTTCTGATGAAGAGGATTCGCCTTTTTATGAAACCTTACAGGTAAGAAGTAATGATTAATTTGGTTTAAAATTTTAATTAAGGAATGAAGCTTATGTCACCTTTTGTTATACGATATAACATAAGTTGAAATAAGCTTCATTCCTTATAATTTAATTTCAATGTAGACAGTGATACAATATTTCTATTTATCCTTCGGAAAAAGGTTTAAAATATAGCATATTTTAAAAGTTAACGTCAAGCGGAGTAATACGTTTTTGACGTAACTCATTGTGACGTAGGCAAGTTATGCTATGCAAAATGGATAAAACTGTTTAACCAATCAAATAGCGTGTTACAACTGAAATTAAATTATTTGGAAACATTTTATTAAAAAATTAGTAAAAATTGCTTGCAAGATATGACATATCTCAGCGACAAACCCTCTTGCAAAAAGCTTGTTTGTCAAAATATGAATACCGGGTACGCCTTTTTAACTTAAACTTGGATGAAAAATTTGGAGGTAATGAACAGTATTCAAGCTCAAAAGCTCATTAAACATGACAAATTAGAAGAAAAGCAAACACGGACCTCTAAAACATCAGAGGTGGGATTAGGTGCCATGGAGGAGTGAGCATCTCCTGCCAACTGGTTACAACCATCATGGATTGATAAGAGAAAAATTGAAAAGAAGTAGTACAAAGAGACAAACCATAAACAATCTCTCCCTGTATTCAATTTTGATAGCTTATAAAGTCTGACTACATCCATCCTAGGCAAAAGATCATCTCCTGCAAGTGGTGAAACAGCTAGGGAGGCAGCATCCAATCTTCTGCATACCTGTAGGAAAAAATCCAGATGTGGTAATTTAAAATTGACCATTGCATTGACTAAATATAATCTTTAAAACAATTTTAGATTCTAAATATTGACAAATTAATAGTAGTTTGTACTTTTCTTCCAGGCATTTCTAAAATATTTAAGTTTAAAGGGAGGAAGGATCGTTTGTCCACATGAAGTTAAACAGATTGCAAGATACACTCATAATCTGGTATATACATGTACATGTATAATTCAAATAAAAAAAAATATGATGTATTTGACAAATATAGGTCTTCATAAAAATGGCGTTTAGAATTGATTAAAATTCATATTATTAGCATCCTTTTACAACTGAAAATTGAATACATACAACTGAAAGCAGTGGCTGATCTTATTTTAACAGAGAGCCACGGCATTGTTATCGGCCACACAAAACTTAAAAGGAATTAGTAGACAAACCATCGACTCATTCGCACAATCTAGCTTTCCCGGGACGATATTTTCAGATGAGGACAAGGTAATTTGTGTATTCATAAATATATATTTTGTATATCATTTGTTAACCTAAGGTATCCGATCCATAAGGTCGTTTAAAGCAATTGCTAATTAAACGCATTTAATTGATTTCCGAAAAACGCAGGGGGTAGGTCTTTTGACACTTTCCCCCAATTGCCGCGAGTATAAAAGAGGGGCGCACGTGGCGTTTTCCTCCTCTTGCTCGATAGCTTTCCCAGCGATTCTGCACTTTTGATAATTGTTTTGAAGCATTTAAAACCTCCGAGAACGGTTCAGCAAAAAGCGAAAAATCATGCCACCCATTAGAGCCAGAAAGTCCCAAGTCACCGCCAAGTCCACCATGGCAAGCAAGCGGACCAAGGGAGCCAGGCAGCAGCAGGGCAGAGGGGGAAGAAGAAACCTGACCGCTGTCCACCACGCTGACACCAGGGCAGACCCTGAGATCGAGGGATTGGTGACTGGTACAAGTGCCCAGGCCTGGGAGGAAAACATTCAAAGTTCCACGGGAATGGCAGAGGAGCATGTGCCGCTCACTATTAACAATAAGGGTAGGCAATTAGTCTTTTCTACTTTGTGGCCTGTCCCGGAGGAAGCTGCCCTGTCACCGGCAGGTAATTTCGGGGCGATGCCAAACATGGAGGTTTGCGCTGGGGACGATATAGGTGCCCATGTTCCAATCGCTTTAAAACAAAAAATTTGGGCGGGGAACTATATAAACTTAGCCCTGCTTACAAAGGGAAGCGCTGAACTGCAGCAGTTCGCTGCGGGTAGTAATTTTGTTCTAAATGATAAGGGGGAACTTGAGGCTAAGCCCAAAGTTTTGAATGAGAAGATAGCAACCATCGATAGATGGACTGACGCTTTTCTGTTATTCATGCATATATATATATTCAAAGGCACCCAGGGAGGGCAGCCGAATTGGTTCAATATATGTTTGTTATTCGCGACGCAGCGAGGAAATTTCCGGGCATGGGATGGAGAAATTACGACGAACAGTTTAGAGTGCGTCAAGCAATCTCTTACCGAAATTGGTCAAAATTAAATTCCGATTTATGGCTACGCTATAGCTGTCCCACCCAGGCCAGAACTTAGCCTCGCTGCGTCGCATGCACCAAACCAAACTGGAGTCTGCTTCAGTTACAATAGAGGCCGTTGCATTACAGCCAATTGCAAATATGTGCATTTATGTTCTATTTGTAAAGGAAAGCACCCAAAATCGAGTTGTGCAAAAAATGATACTTTTCGTACCTCAAAGGCCTCAAACAGCACCGCTGCAACCAATAAAGGTCAAAAACTTTAAATTAGCAAATTCCCCTATAAACACTGCAGCTGTAAAAAATTCTCTTACAAATTATCCGAATTTAGAAGTAGCAAAAGAACTTATGAACGGTTTTCAATTTGGTTTTCGATTGCATTACCGGGGTCCTCGAAAAAAAAACAGAAGCAGCTAATTTGCCCTCTTTTTATAAACATGCAGATGTCGCTAGAGACAATATCAAAAAAGAAATTGACAAAGGACGGATGGCTGGCCCATTTAAATCACGACCTATGTCAAATTTGCGAGTTTCGCCACTGCCCAAGAAAACGGAGGGGGAATTCAGGGTAATTCACCACCTCTCCTACCCTACCAATAACTCCGTCAACGACTTTATTGACGAAGAGCTTTGTTCGGTCAATTACACAAAATTTGACGAGGCCATTAGCATGGTTCAGCGTTTAGGGCGTGGATCTTACCTAGCCAAATCAGATATCAAAAGCGCATTTAGATTAATGCCCATTTGGCCCGGTGATTTTGAGCTTCTGGGTTTCAAGTTCGACGGCTGTTATTATTTTGACAAATGCCTCCCCTTTGGGTGTTCTATATCTTGTGCTACATTCGAGAAATTTTCATCGTTTCTAGAGTGGCTGGTACGCAAGCGAGCTACATCTAGAGAGGTTCTACACTATTTAGACGATTTCTTGTTCGGGGGTCATACGGCAGACGAGTGTCAAATGATAGTGGATAATTTCATTCAGGTCTGCCAAGAATTAGGGGTCCCAATAGCATGGGAAAAAAGCGAGGGTCCACAGGAAGTCATTACTTTTCTTGGGCTAGAAATTGATACTCAAAAAATGCAGGTCAGGTTGCCGGAAGAAAAATTGAATGAAATCAGCATGATTATTGAAGGCATATTGAAGAAACCGAAAACCAACTTGAAAACCATGCAATCTCTATTAGGTTATCTAAATTTTGCCTGCAGAGCAATTCCTCCCGGTCGCACTTTTTGCAGGCGGCTGTCAAATGCAACGCGTGGTTTGTCTCAACCCTATCATCATTTAAGAGTAACAAAAGAGATAAAAGCGGATTTACTTGTATGGCTGGAATTTTTTGACAAATTTAACGGTTTTGTGGTATTTCAAGGAAAGTTTTGGGTATCTAACATAGATTTAGAACTTTTTACAGATAGCTCGGCGCGTCGAGGAAACGGTTTGGGAATTTATTTTAGGGGTGCATGGACCTACGGTGTCTGGCCAGAGTTTTGGTTCAATAAGGGTTATACTAAGGATATCACTGTGTTGGAATTTTTTCCCATGCTTGTTTCAGTATTTTTATGGGGGGGGGGGGGGGGGGGGGGGGGGGGAAAGCTGCGCAACAAAAAAGTTTTATTTAGATCTGATAATGAATCAGTGGTACATATTGTAAATTCGATGACATCAAAATCAGAATTAGTAATGATCATGTTGCGAAAATTCGTTCTAAAATGCTTGCAGTTGAACATTTCATTTAAAGCGCAGCACGTCTCGGGCGTTCAGAACTCATTGACGGACAGTTTGTCACGTTTACAATTTCAGCGATTTCACAAGTTGGCTCCGGACGCAGACAGTCAGCCGACACCATTTCCAGGGGCACTTTGGACTATTTTCGAGACGAAATCACTCGATTGTTAGACGCAAGCATTTCAGCAAACACCATGGCTGTATACTTACAAGCTTTAAAGAATTTTAAAGACAAAACTACCTGATAAATGGCCAGTCCCTTCAAACCATATTCTGTTATATATAGCATATCATTCAGACACGGGCTCAGCAGCATCAACAGTTTCATCTTATATTTCGGGTATTAGCTATGTACATAAACTGAGACAATGGACCGACCCGGCAGATTTATTCATAGTTAGGAAATCTTTAGAAGGGTTGCGAAGATTAAATAAAACAAAAGACCACAGTGCACCTATTTCGGAAGAGCTTCTCGCTAAAATCTGTAGCGCTCTAAATCAAGTGTGTTATTCGGAATATGAAACATTCTTGTTTAGATCAGTTTTTACCTTGGCCTTTTACGGCCTATTTAGGGTAGGTGAATTAGTGTATACCTCGGAGCATTGCGCCCATGTACCCTTAACTATTAAGGATATAAAATTTTGTGTGTCAAAGAGCGTTCCTTGCGTCTCTATCTCTGTAAGATTCTCTAAAACTGATCAAACAGGAAAAGGTATCAATATTTTGTTACCATCTATTCACCAAAGAAACATTTGCCCAGTAAATAACTTGAAAAATTTTCTTGCAGTGAGAACACGTGTGGAGGGTTCATTATTCGTGCATAGCAATAAATCCCCGCTAACTAGATATCAGTTTAACGCAGTCCTGAGAAAAACCCTGTCGAAAATTAATCACCCGAATTCTGCTTACAAATCACATTCTTTTAGAATTGGAGGTGCAACGTGTCTTGCATTAAAAGGGGTATCACATGACAAAATCCAATTATTGGGACGCTGGAAATCAAGCGCATTCCTTAAGTATATTAGAATAGATATGATGTGAGCTTTGTAGATGAGTTGTATTTACCATATTATTCATTGCTTCTTTAGAACACCTTGTATGGATTGTGGGATCTTCAATTGTTTACTGGGCATGTAGATGGGCGGCTACGAATCTGACTACTAACTTACGCTTGGAAAATTTAGGCGTTCAGGTAACCTGGATTGGCAAAAGGGGCATGAAATGGGGGGAGCTCATTGACTCTATCGAGCAAAAGTTAACTAAATGTCCTCCTCCTGCATATTTAATTATCCACCTAGGGGGGAATGATATCACATCAATTAAGAGCGAGGTATTATGTACCAGAATAGAGCACGACATATATATGTTTAATGGCAAACAGATTAATGATATGGTCTGATATACTTCCGCGCAGAAAATGGCTAGGGGGTCGTGACATATGTTCCGTCGAACGGAAGCGAAAAAGAGTTAACAGAGCTGCTCGTAGGGCGGTCGCATCAGTAAACGGCAGAGTTATTAATCACCCTGATATAGAGTTTTCGGAGGAGGGGCTATACCGCGCTGACGGAGTCCATATGTCTGACGTGGGAAATGCAATTATAACAAACACTTTTCAATCAGCCATTGAAGCTTTTATCTCCTCTTAAATTTTATTTGTTGGGTGGCAGAGATGTATAGACATCTCTGAGTGGCGGATATGTCAGACAAGCAGAGACATTTGTCATCATTATATTAATTATTGTTTATGTATGATTATCTATTTTACGTGATTGGTAGAGCATGTTGTGGCTCGCTAAGGCTACCCTAGGAGCCAATACAAGCTTGCTATGGAGTGCACTAGGAGCTTGTGTGAGGGATCTGTTCGGTATAACAGTAACCTCGTACCCCGTTCGGTATAACGGGTGGTTATTTTTGCCCTACTCGGTATAGTGGGCTTACCTGTTCGGTATAACAGGTAGTAGCCTCGCTAAGGAATCCCCTAGGAGGCAATTACATATCCCAGCTGACTCGCTAAGGGGTACCCTAGGAGTCGATTTATAAATATTGTTACGCCTTGCTATGGATTACCCTAGAAGGCGAGGTGCCATAACGCCCGTTATCGATTTAGGTGTGTGGCACCCAATGATTGTTAAATGCTTGTCTGACATTTGTCATTGAAACAATTATTAAAGCTGTGGCCTTTATCATCCAAGAAACATGTTTTTTTATTTTTTCGGAAAATATTCTATTAAGGTCGTTTAAAGCAATTGCTAATTAAACGCATTTAATTGATTTCCGAAAAACGCAGGGGGTAGGTCTTTTGACACTTTCCCCCAATTGCCGCGAGTATAAAAGAGGGGCGCACGTGGCGTTTTCCTCCTCTTGCTCGATAGCTTTCCCAGCGATTCTGCACTTTTGATAATTGTTTCCCACCCACCACTCCCATTAATGAGAAATTAAATCTTAGTTGTTGAAAGGTTGCTACCTTATACATGTTAAGAATTTGAGATGCTGTTGTTTCTGCTGTTTATTTGTATTTTTCAGGTTACAATTAAGTATGGATGTTTTTGTTTATGTGCGCAAGATTGTGATATACAGGCAAGGGGACTGAGGAATGACGATATGTTGCTGTCGCAGCTGTACGGATATGTCAGACAAGCAGAGACATTTGTCATCATTATATTAATTATTGTTTATGTATGATTATCTATTTTACGTGATTGGTAGAGCATGTTGTGGCTCGCTAAGGCTACCCTAGGAGCCAATACAAGCTTGCTATGGAGTGCACTAGGAGCTTGTGTGAGGGATCTGTTCGGTATAACAGTAACCTCGTACCCCGTTCGGTATAACGGGTGGTTATTTTTGCCCTACTCGGTATAGTGGGCTTACCTGTTCGGTATAACAGGTAGTAGCCTCGCTAAAGAATCCCCTAGGAGGCAATTACATATCCCAGCTGACTCGCTAAGGGGTACCCTAGGAGTCGATTTATAAATATTGTTACGCCTTGCTATGGATTACCCTAGAAGGCGAGGTGCCATAACGCCCGTTATCGATTTAGGTGTGTGGCACCCAATGATTGTTAAATGCTTGTCTGACATTTGTCATTGAAACAATTATTAAAGCTGTGGCCTTTATCATCCAAGAAACATGTTTTGTTATTTTTTCGGAAAATATTCTATTAATAGCTTCAGATTCAATGAATTTGAACGCATAACAGATATATATTGGCTGAATATTCAGAATGTGTAGACATTATCTTCATGTTTTAGACTCAATACACATGTATGTAAGAGTGGAATGTGTCCTATTTTTTTTTACCTTGACCCCTCCTTGAAGAGTTATCCCCCTTTGATTTTAATCAATAAAATTCATTCTTAAAATATCTATCTGGTGAAAAATTATTTTTAAATCATATATCATATGCAGCTTTTCACTATAGCATTTTTTTATATTCAAAGTATTTGAATTTTTATTTTTAAAAATTTGCTTTATCCCATAGACCTGAATGCATTCTTAATTAATTAATTACCGATCAATTAATAATATTTTTGAAAGTTTCTCCTGGTAAATCCTTTTCTATTCTACACTGCTTTGAATTAGTTTCTGAGTTTTCAATATAGGATGGATATTTAAGACTAGAAAATTGTCCTTTTATGGATCGGATACCTTAACACAATTTTCTGTATCTTTGTATGAATAAAATATATTTCTATCTGAAAAGGCATCTTTAGACTTATGACAGTTTTGACATAATTCTTTGATTACATCATTACTCATACCAGGACGATATATTGGATATCTATACCAAAAGATCATTTTATACCATGGATCCTTCTGATTCAAACGACGAGGATGAAGAAGCGGATACAGAACTTGCTGAGAGAGACCCTTGTCTGCCAAACATAGGGACAAGAGTTACACGAGGACCGGACTGGCATTGGTCAGATCAGGACAGTCATGGTCCTGGTACAGTCATTGGACATTCCAAAAATGGTGTGTGTCATATTTAAGGAATTACTTTATATTTTGTTGAGTATACTTACATTTCTGAAATTGTAAATTTATTTTTTTTTAATGCTGTCTAATAGCCACGAGGCCTCACATGCTTATTTCAATAGTCTGCGCTCACTGACCTCAGAAACACAGACGAAATTGGCATGCATATCAGGCGATATAACCTTCAAAGATTTATCACAGAGAAAACAATAAGAAAAATAAACATTTCAACACCACTTCATAAATCCTGGAAAGAAAACAAACTACAATGGGAAATTTGACAAAAACTTTTTCAAATGACCCTATTTTCATATATTACTGTGAAATGAGATGCTGTTTGGTATCCTTTTTTCCTCTTTGTGTTCCTCTGACCCTGACCTTTCTAAATTAATGATATTACTGAAAGGTACCGAACTAAATCATTAAGCATTATGTTTTCTCTTCTTGGCACATTGTGTCTTCTGCTCGTCGTTTACTTGTATTTAACAACAGATTTAAGGACAGGGTAAAAACATATAATGTTGCTTTACCCAAGTTTAGACATACATGTAACCGTAAACAGTGTTTCTGAAAAACTGTGAATTAACAAAAGATATTGTTATTATGATGCTATTGTTATCTTTGTTAGCTGGATGGTTAAAAGTTGAATGGGACTCTGGAGGTAAAAATGAATACAGATATGGCGCAGCCTTGATGGATAGGGTTAAATATGAGGTCACTACTTGTTGTGAACCAAGAATTCTTCATAACACAATAATAGCAGTTGGATGTATAGTCACAAGAGGTAAAATTTCAAACACGTAAAAGTATAGACGTTCCTTCACTAATTTTTATTATGTAATCTTTTTATGAACTAAGACAAACTATTGATATTATAGGTCCTGACTGGGAACTTGGAGATCAAGATGGTGGAGAGGGAAGTCTTGGTTCTGTGTATCGGATCAAGCGGAACGGGATAGTTTTTGTGTGTTTTTGATTAATCATTGCTTGATCAATTAAATTTGGCTTAAATATCTCCAAATCCAAACTATGCCCCCCTTAGTTTTTCAATACTAATGGCTTTGATTAATTTCAATCTAAAGTTGAAATGACGTCATGACAAATTCGTCTTCTTATCATTTTTAACTTAAAATAGAAAAGAACAAGGTACGATTTCAATTCAACTATGGCCCGATATTTTTTTCTAAAATTAAGACATGTAAGAAGTGATGTTAAAAAAAAACCCAAGAAATTTTACCTTTCTGAATTGTTGAAATTCCAGGCAGTAAAAAAAAATTATTTTCCTAATATGACCTCTGATAATTGTGACGTCATGAGTTCATATTTTCTTTTAAAGTTGCAAATACATCAACTTTCAGTAGAATTTTCTTACAGAAAACTTGCAGAGCATGCATTGCCAAAAAGATTTTGAGATTTCTGATTTTTCAAATAATTTTACACAATATAATACAAAACTAAAGCGGTGACGGCTGCAGGCAATATTTTCTATGGGATAATAACCACGAAAATTTGTCAATGTGAGGATTTTCTGCATAAAACTTAGAAATGACGTCATATTTCTTGAATGGTTCTCCTTCATGTTATATTCTCTAATCATTAATCATGACCATCTTCTCAACTCACGTTAATACCAAATGCATAACTTTTCAAGAACATTAAATTTTTAGCACATATTTTAGTAAAGATCAAATCATACTTTCTTCATTATAAAAGACACGACGTTTGTCTTTGTCTTGGTTTATTTTCAGGTAAGGTGGTCAAACGGATGCTTAATAAATCATAGATATGGTTTTGACGGAAAATTTGACGTATTTATATGGTAACATTTTTTTCAAGAAATTTATATGAACTACAAATGTACGTTACTTCAGACAATTTGATATTTTAGTTTTGTGCATCAACTTACCAGCGTGACAGAATCAGCGACATTGTTATCAAATAGATTATTATCAAATAAATCACTTTATTTTGATTAAACCTAATATTTGGTGAAGACCGATGTCAATTTTCATTTTGAAGTAGCTAATGTGATTTACTTGTAGCAACGAAATTTGAAACTTTCTACGTGCATTAAAACTAAAACAAAATCAATGCACTTTGAAAAAAAATTCAAAGTGCGTCAAATATGGGACAAATTCAGCTCACTTTGAATTCGTTTTCCAAGTGCGTTAAAATTGGAGAGAAAAAAAAACGCTTAAATATAAATATATTTATTTGTATCACCGAAACATCACAAACATAAATTAAATGCTTTTAATGATTTCGACATTAATTCGTTGACAGTGATCCCTTCTCAGCAGAAGTGATTAGCTTCTTACAGACCAACTGTGATGTTACAAGAGCCTTAACCAGAACAGCATCTGAACGCCATCTTGGTAGGGCTTTAAAAGGTACAAAATACATGCATTGTTACAACGCACTTTGAAAAATTACGCACTTTGAAAATTTTTTCAAAGTGCGTTAAATTTGGGACCAAATCAACGCACTTTGAAAAAATAAAATTTCTTTTCAAAGTGCGTTGATATCGACCATATGAACACACTTTGAAAAAATGTGTATGGCTTGCATTGGTCAACATTCTTGAAAATTTTAGGCATGATACAATGTAAATAATCGAACCTGTTGGATAACTTTTTGGTGATAAGGTCAGTATGTAAAAGTAAGCGATTTTGATTTTTCCATACTTTGAAAATTCTTTCTCTCTTAAATGTTTCATTGTGCTTAATTTTTTCCAGTTTACATGTATTAAATGTAAGCTAAAATTTATTGAAAGTTTTCAACGTCACACCAGTTATGCAAATACATATATTTGGGTGTAGCGTATGCATCAGTACCGGGGGGAGGGAGTTGTCACACAAATGTATTGCAAAGATATACATAATATAGGAATTAAAAATTGGGGCTTTCATTGGGGAGGCGGTTTCCTCTTTCAATTTGCTACCTAAGTAAAAAAGAGTTGGTCTGAGAGACCTTCTATATACTCATCTTCTCCTTGTTCTCGATGAGGGTTAATCAATACATGTAAATTAAAACGTTTTTCGAAAGATATAATCATTACAATTGATTTTTTCAATTACTAAAAACTAAGTCTAGAAATTTTGTTTATGCGTATTGATATATTTCTAAAGTGCGCTAGGAGTCCACATGGTAAAAATGTTGATGTACACTCAACGCACTTTAAAAAGAATTTCAAAGTGCGTTGAGTGTGTCCAAAATTTAACGCACTTTGAAATTTTTTTTTCAAAGTGCGTTGATTTTGTTCCAATTTTAACGCACTTTGAAAATTTTTTTCAAAGTGCGTTGCCACAATGCATATTCATATAGATAGACCTAGGATTAATTTTAAGAATAGGTTTATCGTAAACACAAGGTTTCTTTGGTAGTTTATAATCCTTACTTAACATCTATATAAAAAGCTATGAGAAATTTCATGCTTTACTGAAATGCTGAATTGGAACTACATGTCCCTTAGAAACAAACATTGAAACTAGTTACCTGTTGGTTTTGTTTTTTTTTTTTTTTTGTTCTTTTCTTTATAAAGCTACTGATGAGACCGGTATTGGAGGGAAGGATAACATTGAACACGAGAAAGGAGGGCTGGGATCTCCGTGTCTGAAATTACCAAAAGGGCAGTATTTCAAAAATGACAGAGTTTCTGAGGATTCTTCTTCAGACATTGAAGCTGATGGGTCAAAGGAGTCAGAGACATATATTGCTGAAAAGCAATGGCTATGGCGAGATTACAACGGGAAGTGGACGCCATATCCAAGAAAGATAAATGACAGAATCAACAAGTGTTACAACAGAAATCCGCACTCTACAGTGGTGGTTGTGTTAAACAAACAGGAACAACGTACTAAATGATTTGTTTGTTTGTTTTTTATAATTATTGTACTCAGTATATTTTACAGCGAATTTATTATAAGTAAGATTAAAGTGTTAATTATGTTTCATAAGAATTCTAAACATTAAGGCTTTCATCTTTTTAAAAGAATATTCTTTATCTAGTATCTGCGATTCAGAACTGATCGATGATTTGGTAAAGAGATTATTTAGGGAAAAACAGTAATCAGAGTGTGTTCTTTGTGCTTCATCGATATACCTTATGTAAAAAAGGACTACAATCCGTCTTCATCTTTGAATTAGATATAAAAATACTGAAGACTCAGCTTTGTTGCTTGAAGAAATCTAGACAATTAGCTGTTCGTTTTTCTCTCCTTCAATAAAGAACATTATTTTAAAAAGGAATTTTAATGGTAATTTTATTTTTTTTAGTTACAGAGTTGTCATGGCAAAGAATACACAAATAAACCTAGAAACAAGGGAAACACACGAAGTGAAACTGGTGAAAAATTCGTGATTTATCAGGATTGAAAAAGGCCCACAATTTATTAATTACATGTAAATGCACGTAATTTTTACGAAACTGTAATAAATGTTTCAATCAAATATTCTCTTCGTTTTTAAAATTTATAAACGCTATTATTACTTTGTTAATAAATCAACCTAAAGTTACTTTTGTCGTCTATTGTATTGCAAAGGACATATACTTTTCAACATATTTTTTTAGACTTTGTATCAGTTCTTCAAATGCAGTGTAGTTAAAACTCTATCAAGAATGTAATACGTAGAAAATCTAAACATAAGAAAATTCCATAAAAAGCGATGGATGTGTTATATACATGTATATTATACAAATATAGCCCTTTCATGAGGTCGTTCCTTAGATATATCGACTTTGAAGAAAAGCATATCGACCGAGCACTTGGTCTATCCGCATTTATATACTTTAACACATGATGCCGTATGAATCAATGACAAATCCCGTTACAATATATGAAAATAATATATATAAATGTATGCACATATATAATTTTTAATCGGGGATTCAGGGACACGTCATTGTTACAATTCAAAAAACTCACTGTGGCAAACTTTGAAATCTTACACATTGAGTAATAAATTTGGTTACATAAAAATTATATTTAAATTTAAGATTAATGTCTTCGTGGTGTTGCTGACTTAATAATTATGTAGACACATTTTCTCTTTAGGTCAGTACAGAATAGTGTTTTTGTGCACATTATCTTAAATATCCATTTTTGTGGGTACATACTAACGGAAAAGGAGACAGAAGAGTAAACATAAATTTACATTGTATATTGACTCTCTTCTAATTCTTTCTCTGTGTATTGTTTATAGCTGTAATGTATTTTGCCTTTAGGCTTTTAGGCACATACATGTATATCTGATTTCATGTAAATCTGAGTTTACCATAGAGAACTGTGAGAGAATAAATAGTTTTATGGCACCCTCGCAATGGTAAGGTTCATGAATCAACACGTTGCCTTTGGACCCCTGGCATATTTCATTCGATATCTTAGGGTGTGCATCTCGCATTGAGAAGCACCAATCAAAATAAAGATTTCATAAAGAGTGAGATATTTACTAAACAGAAATTTTCATAGACATTTAAACAGCACCAAAATTACCCAGCTAGGAGCCAACCACAATGAAGATTAGAACAAAGATAAATGTCAGAAGTTGCAAAAGAATATGTTAGAGTTTCCCATGAATAAGAATAAATGTAAAAGTTAAAGAGAACAAACAGTGATCGATCTCAAACAATTCATTCGGTAAAACAAATATGTGAAGAGGGATTAGAATACGGACCTTTGAAATTCCAGATGTAGGATAAGGTGCCTAGGAGGAGTAAGCATCCCTAGACGGCTGGTCACACCAACCGAGAGTCCCATATATTGATCAGATAAAGGGACCATTCTGTAGTCGAATTAAGTATAAAGACAAGATCATACGATTGGCATAAAACAAGTCAGCTTAAAAACAAACATGAGTATTATTTGCTTTAAAAAAGGTCAGTATAAAGTCCGTAGAATTTACGAAATGACGACTTGAAGCGAGGTTAATTGTTGAAATCCCTATATCATCATGTTATCAGTGAGTAGCATGCCGTTTTCAAAGCAAACTCTTTAGTAGCGTTTAAGTTGGTAGACATAAACATCATGAGCATGTCGAATATTAAAACATAAACAAGGAAATTTGACGAAAAAGCTGAAGTTATCTCGTTTTTATTGCAATTTATTGTAGCTAGGAGACGCATATTTCAACTAGAAGAGTGTTCTGAACAAAGGACTTCTTCCTGAATTTTACTTTTTTTTGTACTTTTAGAATAGTCACTTCGTTTTCCAATCAAAATTTGCTTAAGCAGGAAACGTGAATCCCTGTAGAGGCGTATCATGCATATAGTGTTTGGTTGTCTTCCATTGCGGTAAGATTAATATAAAAGCTAAATGAAATTTTTATTAATCAATCTTTATCAGACAAATAAAAAAGTATATATATACCTCTTCGCATTGTATACTTATACTTAAAAAATATCTTTCCTCCAAAATAAGTGTCGACATGTTTTAAAAATAAAGCTTCTCTCATGTCTAGATCGCTGATGTAGATGGCTTCAGAATTCCAAAGATCGCAAGTGCTCTGGCAGGAACGAGGAATTATCGAGGCTCAAAACAGTAAGTACTAGTACAGATACATTGGAATCAACTGTGTGTCCTAGTGTCAATGTTAAACACATAATATAGTCATAGAAACGTACTAGACACGTTAGCATTCCTCAGATTATTTTTTCAAAAAAAGAAGTCATGTAATCTTTAACATTCTTTTTCAGATCGGGACCTGCGCTATCAACATGGAAAAGGGCCATGCAATATTTTCATACTGGATACATCTTCAAGCATTGGAATTGAAGGATTCTTACAAATGAAAGATATATTTTGTACTATTATGGATGGTAAAGTTCAGTTTCTTCATTTAGTCGTGAAGGCCAGATTATATATATCATAAATTATGCATTTTTCATGCTGACGTATTGTTCAATTTCCTTATTACTTAGAGCAAAATCAGTAAGTCAGTTAGGTTGATGTTTTGCAAATACCAAAGGAAAAAAAGGTCGAAATTATGGATGTCTGTTCTTTTACATAGAAAACCTATCGTTTTTTCTCAGGTCAGATGTTTATGGAAAGTCTTCCTTTTTGTCAGATCTGGACAATTTTTTTTCTGTATAATTTTAAAACTCTACTTGGAAACTGGATGTTTTCCAAAATTTGCCAACAATAAATGAAATACTTCCCTATCTCTCAAAATATCGAGACATCATTTTTATGGTGTAATATTTTAAAAATATTTCTCAAAGCTTTGTAACATAGGAGTGTTATATGAATTAAGCTCTGCATAAAAAAAAAATTATTCGTACATGACAAGGACTGTATGATCTACAACCAGTAACATTCACGATCTAAAAGCATTCGAAATTTTACATGCTTAACTTTAAGAATGTATTTACAATTTTTCCAGTATACTATGAATATCAAAAAAAAATTAATTTAATAACAATTTTAATTATTATTATTATCATGTTGTTGTTGTTGTTGTTGTTGAAAAGTTAACATATCAGATTAGAAACTTACAATCAACGTCTTTTACGAATTCCATGCAATAAGTTTGAATTTTCATGGGAATATGTACCGGTAGTTGTTTCTGTCTCAATCTATGCGAAAACAACCTCTTATATTAGTAATGGATATATTTTAAAAATCTTTTTGTATGATAGCATCTTTTGGCTTGTATATATTCCTAGTTATATTTTTCGTCTTGTCTGATATTAGTGCTATATTTCTAGAATATGCTTGTTATCCGGACAGCGATGAGAATGTAGCAGTAATAATATGTGGAAGAGAAACTAAATTTCAACATTATTACTCAAATCAATACATGGATCTAAAACGTTGCCTGGGTAAGCTTCATCTTTGTTAGTTCCTGTAAAAAATATATATTTCCTATTTCTAATTCATGCACCAGAGTATCTTAGAAAATATCCCTCGTTTTGTCCTCTCTCTTGAAAATTAAAAATTTATAGGTATTATACTTATATAATTTAATTTCACTTGTATCAAGCAATTTCATTGGCTGAATCATTCAGAAGATCATATAACATTTTGTATAACATAACTTGCCTACGTCACAATAAGTTACGTCAAAAACGTATTACTCCGCTCGACGTTACTTTTAAAATATTGCTCAATTTGAAGCCTTTTTCCGGGGGAAATATTTTCTCACTGTCTACACTAAAATTAAATTATAAGGAATGAAGCTAATTTCAACTTATGTTATCCGATATAACAAAACTTGGGGCAGTTTACGCTTTCTTATAAACCGCTTCGCGGTTTATAATGCGTAAACTGCCCCAAGTTATGTTATATCGGATAACATAAGTTGAAATTAGCTTCATTCCTTAAATGATTTAATTTTACTTGTAACACGTCATTTGAATGGATAAAAGATTTTATCCATTTTGTATAACATAACTTGCCTACGTCACAATGAGTTACGTCAGAAAACGTATTACTCCGCTTGACGTTACTTTTAAAATTTAATCAATGTGAAGCCTTATTCTGGGGGGGGGGGGGAATTGTCTCATTGTCTGCACTGAAATTAAATTATAAGGAATGAAGCTTATTTCAGCTTATATTATACGATATAACAAAACTTGGGACAGTTTACGCTTTTTTTTATAAACCACTTCGCGGTTTATAAAGCGTAAACTGACCCAAGTTATGTTATATCGTATAATATAAGTTGAAATAAGCTTCATTCCTTAATTGACTCCAATCATTTCGACATTACGGAAATAATCATTGACATCTGAAGTGATTTTTTTTTTGTTTAAAAAGTGAATTTAGACTTTCGGAGAACATACATATCGGCTCATGCATGAGAACAGTTAAAAAAAAAATAATATCACTTTTAAAATGTTCCATTTGTTTATTAGACGACATTGCTTTTGGGGGTTCATCTCCTATTACGGCGGCATTCTTTTTAGCTACTGGGTGTTTTAAGTATGGTGCAGGTAAGTTTTTTTTTAATTTCAGCTAAAATATTTTATTGATTTAATTTAAGTTTTCTTCAACAGACGACTTCAAAAGTATCAGTTTTAAACAGTGAATATATAGAATTTTTCAGAGATTCGAATACTAGTAAGTATGCATCGATATAATTAAACATGGACATAGTTTCAACTGAATTTTCAAAACCAATTTTAATGTTTACAGTTCCTACCTAAGGCATCATCTAGTGATTTAAAAAATTTTAAACATCAATTTGTTGATTAACAATTGAGATACAGAAATTAAGGTTCTTCATAACGTAAACAAGGCTCGTGCCTTGTTTTTGTTATACATACAGAAAATATCATACTGTAAATCACTTTTTAATCGCGAGAACTTTATTTTCGCGAAATTATGCGAGACGGTATGCTCGCAAAAATTTCATTCTCGCGTATAATAGAATTCCTTAAGATTATATAGAGCAATGACCACGATTCGTGAAAATTTTGTCTCGCTAATAAAGAGTCAATGACCATCTCGCGAAAATAAGGTGTCGCGAAAATTAAGTGATACAGTATTCATAACAAAATGAAATTTAGCAAATCAATAGAAACTATCGATTCGTATTTAGAATTAACTTCTTTATTGAAATAATCTACTTCGAAACAACATATAGTAGTACAGCTCCACCACTTTTTAAACTAACATGGTTTTTTTGCACAAATTAAAGTCACATTTTTCTTGCAATATAACTTAAAATTATCGGTTTTCAATACTAGTACGAGACATAACCCTTACATCATTAAATATTTCATGTTAAAGGTGCATATTCTCTAAAATCATTAACTTAAGTTTTAAAAGTCAATTTTCTAAAGGGGAATTTTTTCATAAATTGTATGATGTTAAATGTGCATGATTCTATCATAGGTATTTACAAATTAATTAATCGAATTTTCTTTGGTACTATTTGGTTGAAATGTTCAAATTGGCTTCTTAGAGATGAGTATTTTTTCTGGTACTTTGCACATTTTCCATACTTGTCATGGATTTGTCGAAATGCAGCGCCAAAAAATGACAAAACTGCATAAAGAAATCACGTGAAAGGATTGGATAATAAAGTACGGTTTATCTTTCGGTAGAGTAAATTGTAAATATTGAAAAGTAAATTCTTTTACATTTATGGTCTGAAACTTTGAAATTTTGCTTTGGAAGGCGTCTTTCATGATGCTAGATTTCAGGACGTTAACCAGAAAAAATGTCATCTGTTTAATATGGAAAGCAGTCTAACAGATGAGAAACATTTCTATCATCTTGCGCCTTAGTGTCATATTAATGTACAGAAAATACAGAAGTTACATGAAATGCGCTGTTTCTGTATTAAGGCAAGGCAAAAGTATGCTTTAAGATGGACGGATACAAAGACGGTTGCATTTGAGGAAGAACCATAAAAAAACCATTTGGAAACCCTCATAATATATCATCCAAGAGTATATAAAAATACTAGCAATTATTATGTATTATTTATGTTTAAAGTAATGGAATATGATCAAAATTAAGTTACAAATCATTTTTAAAATATATTTTGTTGTCACGTTAACAAATTTTGCATAATAACAAAGTGACCTTAATTTGTGCGAAAAACCATGTGAGTTTAAAAAGTGCGTCGAGCTGTGTATTAACCTTTGTAAACAAAAACATGACAGAGACTTTGTTTACATAACAAAGATTTGGAGCTCTAAATCTTTCCTGTATCTCGACAACTGACGTTCAAATTTTTGATGATCATTAGAAAAACACTAATGAAATATTTGTAAAAATGGAAAAATAAATTCAGAAATTTTAGCTGAAACTGTGTCCATGCCCCTTTAACTTTTAAAAATGTACGATATCTGCTCAATGTTACATGTACGATTAATAGGACACACTAGGAGAATTAAAGATTTTCGTGTTCATCCTAGAATAATTCTTATTTCTGACGGGAAACCCACAGATTTCACTGTTGTTAGTGATAAGGACGATTTTCTTCCATATGCAACTGAACAGGTAAAGATTTCAAACCAAACATAAAAGAAAAACCGACATCGTATATTCCGATTAATTTTTTTCTACTTTCTCTCTTTTGAGATTTAATAGTTTTTTTTTTAATTTATGCGAATATCTGTAAATATGTACAGATATATTGCTTTTTCTTTTACTTTATTTATATATTTCAGGATAAATATCATTTGATACAGTTAACGAGAAAGATTGGAAGGCATCACCCAATATTTTGTATTCCTATCGGAAATAATCCCGATTTGGTACTCTCTCTCTCTCTCTCTCTCTCTCTCTCTCTCTCTCTCTCTCTCTCTCTCACACACACACACACACACACACACACACCCACACACACACACACAAATCACGTATACAAAATTTCATTTGCATTTTACTTCTTGTTTACAGCAATTTTATGTTCTAATTCATAAACTGTAATTTTATTCTCTGACAGACCTTTTTAGAATCTTTAAGTGTACAGTCCCGAGGAGGAAAGATCGTTCAACCCCGAGAAATAAGACAGTTTGCAAAGTACACTGAAAATTTGGTACCTAGAGCTAAGAAATATACTGGGTTTTTTTATTTATACATGTTTCCTTCGTTCATTTGGAAGTACTTTAGGGAAAAACTAAAACAGAAATTTTCTATCTAGACAAGCGCTGCAGCGTTGTCGTTTACGATGATGAATGATGGTTCTGACCGCGAAATGGTTTTAACTTTGTTGGCATGCAAATGTCCAGAGAAAGAATTTACAGAGGAGGACCAGGTGAAGACTTGTATAAAGAACAGAAAAATGGGAAAAAAGCAAATCTTTTATTTTTTACTGCATCATTTCTTAAAATGATCGCATTTGTCATACATGTATTTGTGACTTTTTAAATCTACGTGTATTTTACATATCTTTGTTTTTATTGCATACGTATACATCTAGGATGATATATTCGAAATGTGTTCGAAGAAGTTTCTGTACAGTTCATTGGAGGATTTAAGAGCAGAATCTGTCGTTGAAATTGAGGACGCATTTCAAGAGAGAGATCCTCGAATGCCTCCTTTAGGGTCCAGGGTCAAGCGTGGACGGGACTGGATGTGGAATAATCAGGATAGCAATGCCCCTGGGACTGTTATAGGGCATCATAAAGAGGGTGAAAAGAGATAACATTATAATAATCATTTATTACATACTTAGTAATAAATACAGGATTTTTGCATATGCGATATGGCTGACGTCACAATAGCCGTATCAGCCCTGCAGGGCTGGTATGGATTTGCGGGGCTGATATAGGTTATACCCTTGAGGACATCTGAAGCAGAAACAAACCGAAACTGTATGAGACAATAGACTGTACATTTTAAGAAGTCCGTGCATGATTATTTACTTATTTTCTTCTCAACTTAATGTGTTCTGTATTTCATTACTAAGTATGTAATAAATATGATAAAACATACCCTTTTCCACATCACATCCCGTATCAGCCCTCGACCAATATCAGCCCTCGGGCCTTCGGCTTTCTGGATGATGTTGGTGTCTCTAGCTGATACAGGGTGTGATATGGAAAAGGGTATGTATTATTTTCTATATAATGTTTTTAAAACCTTCTCTCTCTAACAGTTGAAAATAAATATTATTCCTTAGAGGAAAATTTTCATTCCCCTTTAAAAAAAACACCGATTTTATAGAGATCACATAGACTTCTTATTTGGCTTCATCTGTTTCATTTAAATGTGTTCATGATTATCTCCTTGGTGTCATATGATAAATAGAACGATAATAATACGATTATTTTACTTGAAATTTCTTTATTATCTTGAATAATAATATGATGACTTGGGTTTTTTTTTCACTTTTTCTGTCCATTGACAGCTGGTTGGCTAAACGTAGAATGGGACACAGGATTGATACATGGCTACAGATACGGTACTTCAAGTACAGAAAGAGATAAATATGACGTCACAGTTTGTGAAGAACCTAGAATTCTGGATGATGAAATGATTGCCACGGGTTGCTTGGTAAAAAGAGGTACTGTTTGTATGAAATACGTCAATAGGATGAAACATTATCGCAAAATATCATAACTTAGCAGAATCATGTAAATAATAGATAAAGTTGCATGTATTCATCTAGGTCCGGACTGGGAATGGGGAGACCAAGATGGTGGAGAGGGAAGTATTGGGTCAGTTTTCAGGATTATAGGCATTGGTATTGCTCATGTGCGTTTGAACTTCGCCTATGTTGATAGTAAACATTTATTTCATTTTGTTAACCCTTTCTCTTTTCATTTCCTTTTCATTTGCCTAACCGTGTAGTTTTAAAATTCTCCTTTTTTACCAATCCATACTCAGGTTCGTTGGCAAAATGGTTTGAGGAGTGATTACAGATTTGGTTTTCAAGGAAAATTTGATTTACAGATCTGGTTTGTGTCATTCTTTCAGTTGCCTGGTTGACATTTCTTAAAATTATTTATAAAGAATCTAAATACATCTATGTTTGATTACAGAAATAAATAAAAGTCAGTACAGTATTTGTTAAGTTCTCGTCCTATCAATTTAATTTTTGAAAATAATTTTATGCTTTTAACATGCTTCATAGACTCCTTTATCACCCCATTTGCTAAATCAAGCATGCGATATGCTCTTTTTGGCCTTATCACTGATGCCCATTATAAGCTTAAAAAACATACTAGCACTATATCAGTTATAAATCTCAAGTCTAATATATTAAAGTGATCCATTTTCACCGGAAGCTACTGGGTATCTTCAGGACCAGAAAAGAACAGCTGCAATGAGATGCCCAATAAACGAATCAACTATGGAAGTCGATGAACATGCTTTTTCATCTGATTCAGGTACTTTGTACAATCATTTTCTAAATAAATGATTTGATAATAAAATAAAAATGTATCAAACTTTATCTTTTGCCGTGGAACTATAATATTTAAATTTTTTTCATCTACACAATAAAGCACTTTCCTTGGGTTTCTGCACATCTGCCAATGACCATAATTTTACATCTGAGAAGACATGCGAAAATCCCATTGGTAGCACCTCTCTTTTAAAAATGCCCAAGGGAAAGTATTTTAAGAATAATCGAGTGGATGATGAACTATCTGACATAGAGACCGACTGCGCAACAAACTATTTGACAAATAATGCAGTCGATCAGTGGTTTTGGAAAGATGAAAAAGGAAAATGGATTCCATATCCAAGAAAAATGAACGATAAAATCAACAGAATTTACAAAAGAAATCCTGGTTCCACTGTTGTTGTGACAATAAAGGACCAAACGTAAGTTATCTTTTCGAATATGTACACATTCATTTCTATATGAATTATTATATTAATTCGTTTTGTTATATAATTATATTTCAGATACAGGGTAGTCTTGGCAAAACATGTACATATAAATTTAACAACGAGGGAGGAGTCTAAAGTTAAATTTGTAACAAGTGATTTGTGAAATAAAATTACTTATTTGGCTTGATATATTTCTTTGACTTCTTCTTTTATCTAACTCTTGATGAAGAGTTTAAACACTTTTGACCACTTAGGTTCATC